AAGACCATCATAAAAGTGTCATTTTCTAGATTAAATATAAGATTTATGCGTTAAGATATAAATTAATAACTTTTCATATGCATAATTTTATACCTTCAGCAACTCCTAGGATCCGGCAAATATTCGGATGATTGCTATTCTCACTTCCGACTTTGCAATGAATCTTGAGCTTTTCAAATAAACTTGTTACTAAAACAATACAAAAACCAATTATTCACTAGTTTAAAAAAATATATTACCTCATTTACAACACGTTCAATAATATTTTGGCTAAAAAAATCTTTATTTTCTTCCACAATTTTTAAAATAACTCTTATGCCTTTTGGTTCATAATAAGCGTTATTTATGTAATTACAGATAGGTTTAAGATCGCTAAACTCTGAACTATTAAACAGGCATAGTGATTTATTGTTTAAAGCCGAATTCACCCATGTATTTGAACAAACAAACCCTAATACTTAAAAAGGAAACAGCATACTATAAGAACTCTTTGCCGATGTAAAGGTTTAAAATAACCAGGATTGGTATATTGACTAATTTGATCAATTTTTTAGTTACTATCAAAATTAAATTTTGGTCTTAAGTTTAATAAATTAATGCATAAATTAACAATTAAATTTGATCAAATTAGTCGACTTTGTTTTTTTTTACCATCCTTGAATATAATAATTTAAATTATTTAACTCACAAAAAAATGCTCGTTATTTTTCCATTAAACATCCGAAGCATATATAAGAGTAAGCAATGAATATAACAATTTCTATACGCATAATTATGCATTTGACATACCAATATTCTGATTGTCATTGGGATTCATAGGGATCTGATTTTATTGAATAGATTATTGGTCCGAAAAAGATCCGTACAAAGGACGAACAAAATTTGACAACAATAAACTCATCACATTTTATAGTATTTTATAATCTTTGTGAGCAAACAAATCACAACATGTGATCATTGTCGTAATACGATATAGATTTGACAATAAACACAAAATACGTAATTGCGAGTAATACAACCCTAAAAAGGGTATAAAATGAATTAAGTGCGTGAAAATAAAAAATTAGGATTAGAACGTTAGCATTAGAGGGATAAAATTATCTTAATATATATATATAATTTCATGCCAGTCATTTTTAATTGGTTCACTAAAGTATAATTAAACATTAGCTTTCGGGTATTTGCCTCTTTTTTCTTTTTTATACTTCCTTCGCACGTGTCCGGGATAATCAAATTTTAAATTTGAATGGCTAAGTGTTTGTTTGAAACATCCAAATAGTTTGACAAAAAAAATGTATCACATTTTTTTTTCGGCTATGTTTGAATGTATTAGATGCGGGTCCAATATCATAGTCGGACATTCGTTTGATTGGCTGATGTAAATCAATTGCCCGGGTAACTTATTTATACACTTTAAAGTACTT